GATGCTATTTTATTTGGGTTCTTGTCGGGAATACGTGCCGGTCGGAAAAGTTGATTTGGCAGATTGTGGCGGTCGGCAATTCTGCGTGCCGGTCGAGCCCGACCGGCGCCGACCGGCAGCGGCAGATCCCTGGATGTAATGAGGGAAGTCATGGCTGATATCTGGAACAACAATGATTGTGTCAACCTTTCAACTTAATTGGAGTTAATTAATTAAAGTCTCAAACGTTAGCAATTTTGAGGGACATGAACTCCCTGTAAAAATCCGAGCCAATGGAATTTACTGAGGAGTGATAATCACCGAGGTTATTTTACACAGATTTGTATGTGGTGAAAGGTGATAACATTTACACATATATGTATTAAAACCATAATCAGGAAATTAAAAAGTACCTCTCACAATTAATCGGGTCCCGAAGTCGGCAGTCCCCAGTGTCATTCGATTTTGTCATTAGTGTCAAAAAAATTGACTGCAAAAAAAGCGAGTAAAACCCATTTATTGATGTACATTACAAGCTTTAAAAAAGAGTGCAAAAAAGCATCACCAAACTATCATCCTTTTACGACTGGACCGATCACATTTTCTTCAAGTATGTTCCAAAAAGCGCAGTCCAAAATACCGATCGTGGCAATTTTACGGCTTCCATCTCTCTCTTTTGGTGACGTTACAGAAACATTTCGCTGCATCGTTGTCTGTTTTTGACCTTTGACATCAACCCAGAAAGTGCGCCCTCTTTTCTATTCGATATTCATGAACACCTCCACGGAATGGCAACGATTCTGAGTATTGTTTGCAAAATGATAACGTTCCAGACATAAAATACGATTCATGATGAAAATCTAATGCTCAGAGTTGTTAGTTTAAATTTTATTTTCAGTAGAGTTATCTCCAAAATAACCGGCAAAATGAAAATCGCGCATGGAATTTTCGAGCACTACATGTGACAGCATTTTCGGCATTCTCGAAAGTCATGCAGTTTCTGTCAAAATTATCGAATGTGATCAAAATTTTGTCAAATATGACGTTCGCAACAAACATATTGTACTCATTATAAATTGTTGATTAAACGTTCGAGAATGCTGAAATGCTGTCACATGTAGTGCTCGAAAATTCCATGCGCGGTTTTCATTTTGCGGGTTATTTTGGAGACAACTCCAAACACGAGTGTTTCACTTACAAGATTCATTTATGCACGTCGAGATTTTTAAATCCCCAAACCGTGCCAGCGTGCTTTGCCAACGCCATGCCTGTACATGCACAGTGTACATGTATAATACACTATATGTACATATACGAACTTGCCCAAAACCCGAGTCCTTTGTCGGATCGAATCATGGTCTAACACACAAACGTTGCTCACCTCGGTCGTAGTCGATTGATCAAATACAGACTTCCGTGACCATCGCACTTGAACCGGACTGTCACTTCTGTTTTTTCCATTTGTCCGAAACTTTGATTTTTTTAAAGAATACTCCTTGACAGAGATTCAGCGCTTACACGACAAGTACAGAATCCTCAGTGACGCAAAATAAGTTTGAGCAGAATCCGAAATTCCTCGTTAGCCCGTGATACACGCCATCTGTATAAGCACAGAATTTTCTGCTATCCTTAGCGCCAATATCTCGCTTGCGGTAAGCACAGCCAAGTTGACTGGTTCCCGTCCGAATAACCAATACCTTCTTTGGACTGACAGGCGTACACATCATGAGACAACGGAGGGAACGGGAACCAGTTTAAGCTTAGCCATGAGTATAAATAAATCGAGTTCGTTGACGCCTGGAAACAACACGTGTTGCAAGCCACCGGTGAAAAAAGAAAGAGTGTTAAAAAATTTTCGCATAGTTTACATTCATACCCTGGACATTAGTCGCAATGTAATGTAGCGTTGTCCAACCTGGGCTAGCTTCATACGTGTGATTGCATATATATCTCACTGAACGGAATGGTTGTCTTTTGCCAAACTCGGGTCAGAAATTGTAAATTTTCTTGCTTATATATTATCAAAATTTACCTAAGGATTGAGTAATTGTGTGGAGTTTCTTTCCTTATTATAGGAACATAGTGCTAAGGTAGGCCTAATGAACCGCCTAAAAATTAACTGAATTAAAGCCTCACTCATGTCTGACAGCAGGATCTGTTAGACAATGACAGCTGACACTATGAGCGAACAAAATACAGAATGCGTGCAATTTATCAGCTCACAGGATCCAGCGGATGTCCAGTAATATCCCCGGACATCTCGAATAAACTTTATCGAAAGAAATCACTCGGTAAGGCCTATAGGGCCTAGCTTAGTACCCTTTTAGTAGGGCCCTGTTTAC